GGGGGGGGGGAGATCCCCCAGCCCTGCCCCAAACCTGCCCCCAAGGAAAGGGGGTGCTCCCCAGTCCTGCAGGAAGAGGGGGCACCCCACAGCCCCACAGGGGGGAGAGGAGGTCCCTCCCCTTCAGCCCCACAGGGAGTAGAGGAGGGTCCCACAGCTCCCCCGCTCCTCCAGCCCCACAGAGGGGCAAGAAGTGAGTCCTGCATCCCCCCCACCCCACCAGTGCCATGGCAGGGAGGGAGAAGGGGGTTCCCCACCTCCAGGGGTGCGGCAGAAGGGGGTCCCAGAAACCCCCCACCCCACCAGTCCCACTGGTGGGGGGGGAAAGGGGGTCCATCACCTCCAGGAGTGGAGCAGAAGGGGGTCCCATACACCCCAAACCCCACCAGCCCCACGGGAGGGGGGGAGAAGGGGGTCCCACAACCCCCCACTCCTCCAGCCCCACAGAGGGGTGTCCCCCACCTCCATTGGTGGGGCAGAAGGGGGTCCCACATCCCCACCAGTCTCTTGGGGGGGGGAAGAAGGGGGTCCCACATCCCCTTCACCCCACCAGCCCCAGGGGGGAGGAAGAAGGGGGTCCCACACCTCCCCCACCCCAACAGCCCCACGGAGGGGAGGGAGGGGGGGAAAGAGGGGAGTCCCCCTGCCGGGACAGGAGCCCGCGGTCACCGCCCGGCCAGGCCCGGGAGAGGCTCACCCGGCCCCCGGCGGGGCGCAGCAGCCCCAGGCGGGGACCGAGGGGCAAAAGGCGCCCGGCAGCGGCGGCAAGCGGGCCCAGCCGCAGCATGGCCGGTCCCGGGGAACCCGGAAGCGGCGGGGCTCCACGTGACCGCCCCGGCGCTGCTGCCTGGCGGCGCTCTAGGCCCCGGCGGCGGGCACTCGGTGGTGCTCGGGAGGACTGACTCGCTTTACGGCCCGGGCGCCGCCGCGCGACAGTCGCTGTTCTCTTGTCGCCCGCACCCTCAACATGGCGTCGGGCAGCGGGGTAGGTGCTGGCGGCGGCGGGGCCGCGCCCGTCGCTGTCTCTTTGGCTCGGTAGGGCCTGGGCACGGCCCAGGGCAGGGATGGGGCGGCGGGGGCTGCTCCGGAGGGGCAGG